ACAACTTTTATGATACAGAAGTACACACTTGCCCCTTATGATTACTTACTTTCACATTGATAAAATAATTTATGTACTATTTCGGGTCCTGCTTTTTTACTGAAGAGCATAAGGCCTTATTATTAACATTTTGTAATTATAAATACCTCTCAACAATCTTTTCAAATCAAATTATCTACTGACCTGAAAAACTGAGTGCAAAGCAAGTTGTTTATTTATTATTATTATTTTTTATAACGAGACCCACATGACCCAATTATTTCTCATCAAATTAACAAGGGAAAAAAAGAAAAGAAAAAGTATTTTAACCCAGTTAGGACCAAACAGCTCAGATAGTATGTTCTTTGACATTTCAACATACTTTCAAGGTTTTAAAGCCTTTCTCAGTATGGGTTAATTATTCATCAGGAATATTCTTTCAAACCAAATAGCTTCATCTTTCCAAGAATTCCTCTCCATTTGTTAATATTCAAGTATATGGGAGAAAATCACTATAAAGCTGTAAAGTGTAAATCCCATGCTTAAATGAAGAAAAATGGCATTTCCTCTGCATGTTGAACTCAAAAGTTCTCAAAATTTTTCAGACAGAAAAAACCAAGGGAGCCCAAAGTTCACACCCAGGCTTTCCACCAATAGTGTAACTAGCAATTCCCAGGAAATAAAATGAGAGCCTAAACGTGACCCAACCATGTTTGAATCACAATATCTCTTAAAGGCTTGAGTTTTATAGCTCCAAGTTCAGTTTGTCCAAAACACAAAGACCCAGTGGAAAGCATGTATGTAGTATTTTTAAGCACCACAAAAAATAAGTCCATAAACTGATGAAACAAACTAGAAGATAGGAATGTGGAATACAGTGGGGTATAATATGAAGACAAGATCTAGCCTGTATAATATGAAGACAAGATCTAGCCTGTTTTCTCACTTATTAGATGATTAGATTAGAATGATAACTATTGTTGGTATTGGAATTGCGTACGTGACTATTATTAATTGGAGAATACACATGAACCAATACATAGGAAACCAAGACTTCTGTGGTCATCCAGTGGTTAGGAGTCTGCCTGCCAATGCAGAGGACACAGGTTCGAACCCTAGTCTGATATCTTACTTGCCGCGGGGACAGCTAAGCCTATGTGCCACAACGTCTAAGCCACACTTTGGAGCCCTCAAGCTGCAACTCCTGAACCCATGCCCCAGAACCACTGAAGCCTGCAGGCCCCAGAGCCTGTGCTCCGCAACAAAAGAAGCCGTTGCAGCGAGAAGCTGGCACAACTCAAAGAAGAGTAGCCCCCCTCGTTGCAACTAGAGAACGCCTGTGTGAAGCGATGAAGACCCACCGCAGCCATAAATAAATCAATATTTTTCAACGAAAAAAATGCACAGAAAATCATGAAAACTTACTTTTATAAATGTAGTAAAGCCATGGATGCCTAGGAAAGGACAAGGTCTAGTTCTAACCTGTTTTTCTTGGACAGTGACCTTAAGATCAGTTGTGCCTATGGGACTTAGGACCAAGAGTGCCTACAGCAGGACCAGTCCTAAGATTCTACTTATGATGAGTTTCAGACATCTTTTTTTCAAGTTCTTGCTATTTTAATACCTCTTCCCTCTCAAAAAAAAAAAAGAAAAAAAGCAAGGCACCATTACCGTACTTTTGGACATGTCTTCACAAATCCAAGAAATAAAAGCAATCAGCTGATTGACAGTAATTCTGTATTCTTTCAGTTCTGCATTTTAAGTTAGATTTCTACTTAACATAGCCCCAGAATTCAGTTAATTCTTACACACTTCTCATGGATTAGTAGTGCACACTGATTTGTACTACATTAGAGGAAAGTCAGTATAGTGTGTTTTTTTCATTGGAGTTGGCTGAAAAATCATTCTAAATATGTCAGTTTGAAAATAGAGGTCTTGTCTACTCAAAACACACTTCTCTTTAACCTTAGCTTTCAATCTGAGGTTAATCTTTTTCTTAGAAGTGCAAGCCACCATTATTTCTCAGATCTTTTCTCATTCACCTTTCTGCACAGCTTATTATGTTGGGTTGTATGAATATAGGACACACTTGGTCTTGGACCTGCTAGAGAACACAGCAGTCTCTCACATCTCCACATTGAAAAGAGCATGTGATACAACTTACTGGAAGTGTCTTTTTGTCAGAGTGTGTAAAGCAATTTGCCAGGAGACTTTTATTCTAGGTATTACCTACTTAGAGACACGTATCAAAATATATAAAGAGGATCCTCACATTATTTTCAGGATATAAATATTACCCTAACAATTAGCTCTCCTAGGTGTCAAAGTATTGTTTTCAATTCTCTTCTTTGCACAATATCAAGTCCCAAATTCTTAAAGCATTTAGTGATACAGTATGGATCAAGGTGCCTAATAGTTTTCAGAAGAATTTTTGTATTTTTGTCCCAACTATTATTCAGTATCAACCTATTCCCCATAAAATATAACAACAACATATTGTTCAAACTTGAGCAATACATCAAAAAACAATTCATTATGTGATAGCTGATTAAAGTTTATGCAAGAATGTAGGCTAGGTCTGATTCCACCTCTTAGATGTGTGTCTCACATTCACCACCTGTGTCCTCAGATGTGTTGTTCAGACACATTTGTTACCCTTGATAAGGAAGAAATGGCACGGTGCCCAGCTGGTGTATTTTCTGAGTCATTAAACCAGATTTCTCCATTTTTGAATTTTCTTGGAAAAAAAGTTTTCTGTGTATTGGTAGCTGAATGAAGCCCTTAGCCAGAATCCTTTCTATCATTTCTTTAATGTTACCTGCTAAATTACCGTATTTAGGGTGAGCTTTCCCTGTGTTATAAAGTAGACTCATTGTTGGCTCAGAACCAAATCCTGCAGACATGGAGATGTGCATGCTTCCCAGTGGCTGTAACCTGAGGACTTTATTTAAACTGTCCTTTGAATCTGCAGTAATGTGGTGTCAGGGAGGAATAGGATCTTTATCAACAAAGGGCTGCCAGAACCCCAACAGCTTCTTGAGTAGCTGTAATAGATGAATAATGTTACAACAAACCGTGCATTTCAGTTTTTGCTCAAAAGGCTTTTCACTGATGCTGGTGGTATTTCATATCCATGTGTTCATCTTGGAACCCAGTAGTCTCCATCTGACTTTCATTACTTTTCTTGAGAGGATCAATTTACAACTGGAATCAGAAAAGCAGTCAAAGTAATTGCAAGTGGCAATCACTGAAATATAGTAATCTTAGCTTGGGAACATATGTTCAATTATAAAGAATATATTCTTTTTTTAAATAAATCCAAGACTCATATTTTCCCAAAGTAAGAAGGGACCATATACAGGTTCTAGTGCTATCTCCTTTATCATGCTAATATCCCTATAAAGTGTTTATTCCTTCAGGAATAGGCAACTCATTACATCTGAAGGAAATCTATACCCTTTCTGATTCTGACTATATGAAAATGCTTTATTATACTGGAGATGAAATTCATCTCTCTGTAGTTACATCCTTCAGAACTGAAAGATTTGGGTCTCAACATAGTAATCCTCAACCTCTCTTGACTCATGGGCGACTCTTATGTCCAACTCCTATTTTTTTGCCAGGTTTTAATATATATTCCTTTCTCATACGAAATAGCTTTGATTTCCATCATCATTCTGGTCACTCTTCTTGGAAGTTCAGACTTCCCTGTAACCCTCATAAAGTCACCGTGCTGAAGGAAAATTAGACTTAATCAGAATATCTGTATTATGTTACAGCTTTGCCACTTTTAAATGTTGGAACTTGGGCAAATTGTTTACTCTTTTTGTCACCAGGGATAGTAAAGGTAAATAAAAGATATGTGGTCTAGAGGCACATAAAACAAGCAGTATGCAAGTGGACAATTAAATTTAGAATTACAATGTTGCCAAGAGAGTTCTGAGGTCCCAGGGAATGAGGAACAGGCCCCCGGAGATGGAGGCTCAGTGTTTCCTGATGGGAAGGAGACAGAGAGTGTGTTGTGGGATGTGGGATGGCAGTAAGCTAGGGGAGCAATGTTTTCTAACAAAGCCAGCATGTAGAAGCAGGGCAGTGTCTAGAGACTGGAAAGTGAGTAGATGAGTAGACAAGATGAGTTGGAGAAGCACAGAGCTTTGTGGCCATTGTTGAGAATTTGGATTTTATTTAAAGTATAAGGAAAGCCATTGTTGGGTTTGAAGAAGAGACATTCAGTGTCTGAAATATATTTTTATAAACTGCTCTCATCGAAATAGAGAACAGACTGCAAAGGACAAAAGTAGAAATGGGACAACCAGTTAGGAGGCAGTTGTCATCATCCAAAGAGAGATTTGTGTGATTCGACAACCCGTGGAAGTTTAAGGGAGAAGCAGTACCCTACAGAGGTTAAGACACAGATGTAGCAGGCTGCCTGCCTATAATTAGACCAGACTCCACCAATTTTGGCACATTTTTGCATCTCTCTGCACCTTAGTTTCCTCCTTTGTGAAAGGAAGGTCATGACTGAACTTCCGAGAGTTGTTGTGAGGATTAAATGAGTTTATATATTAATTCCCTGTTAGCTAAATCTGGAAAGAATTTTTTACTCTTAGGACATGTTCCATCCACCCTATACTGCATTTTCAGACTCAGGCATTACTTTATTTGGTTTTTGTCTGGAAAGAAAGAATGAATGTGGAATATGAGCAGATAATTGCTTATCTTTGCAAGCTATATTTTGCTGATGCAATGGAGAAAACATGTGAGAGAAAAGACATTCCATGAACAATCAGTTGTGTTTTTCTTTCTTTGGAGTCCACCTTGTCATGTCACAAAGATTGAACACTTCAGACATTGTATTTCTTTAATGTGATGGTCCCAATAAGAACAGTTTTTAATCCTGTTTAAGACCCAAACTTTAATACAGTGTGAAACAATGATATAACACTGTCATCAGGCCATGTCCCAGGCTGTTTCCTCTTGTGATACGTTCACATAGTTGCATAACACTCCTTGTTTTACAGGTATCCCAGGAAGTGACTATGTGAATGCCAATTACATAGATGGCTACAGGAAACAAAATGCCTATATTGCAACACAGGGATCTCTACCGGAAACATTCGGGGACTTCTGGAGAATGATATGGGAACAGCGGAGTGCCACAGTTGTTATGATGACAAAACTAGAAGAGCGATCCAGGGTAAGGATGAAAATCTACTTTCTCCCTCTTAAAATCTTCCCTCAGAAAGTTCTGGTCAGAATCTAAGCTTTCTTTAAGTTTTGATTTTTTTAACAGCCACTAAATATGAGTATCAACAGCTTAGATTAAATCATGCTTTAACATTCTTTTGTATCTTTCAAAAAGGAAATTGTCTCATGTTATGATGTGTATGATCACTAAAAGAAAAAAAATAGCACTCAAAGAAGTAGGTAACTTGGCTAGATAAAATAAATATCAACTTGGATATCTTTTTAACATTCACATTTAATAGGAACGCACAGACTTTGGGGGAAAATCCCAGTAATATGTACTTCCTGACATTTTGAACTTTTTCTTTCTCATAATCTGCAGTGAAAGTCTAAAATTCTGTGAAAGGGGATCCTTTCAAAAATTATTCAAATTATCATAAATTAAGTCAGGGCAGTCAGAAAAATGATGTGGGTTAATACACAGCTGAGAAAACATGTAAATGTAGAGGGCATTTTGCTAGTTTAGCCTTCTCCAAAATGAATAGATTTTAATAACAGAGTCATTGCTTAGTAAGGTCTAAGAAAGGAATTTTATTCATCATATGGATCCAGTATTATGGAGCATGGCATATTGGTTAAATGCTTTTGATTTGCAAAACTAGAACATAATGGGTAAGCAGTATCCACATTCCCAAGTGTACATGCAAATATTGTAGCCATTTGATGAAAATCAGTAACCTTGAGAATTTAAGGAACAAGTCTGACAAATCACTGAAGACAGCATGTACTCTCTCTGAAGCGTGGGGCATTCGGGGCAGAGTTTGAAACTACCAGTGAGAGGGCTCTTTTACTAGGGTCACAGTATTCTCAAAAAGGATATTTTTGAGGAAGTCAAAGCCTGAGTCCTTATTTGTTGTATGACAGCCAAGCTTTAAACATTCTTCGAAGCTCAATACATGGCAGTTTCTCTTAGCCCCAGTGTGTCTATGAGAGAGGAGTTGAAAACTGCCCAGGAGATCCCTAAGGAAAAAGCTCAGACTGCGGAGAATATAAAAAGTCCTAGCTGTTATTTTAAAGCTGGGAAATCAGTAAATATGGTACACAATTGGTTTAGCAAAGCTAAAAAGCAATCAGATCTTTTCAGAATGTGAATTCTACAAAAATATTGTCTGAAATGAATTTAGATTAAAAAAAACTTGTATGACTGTGAAGACATATATGTGTTACATGTTACGTTCAAATACCATTTGAAAGATGTAAATAGATCTTTTATTGACTCAGGGTAACCTCTATATAACCCCTATGTATAACCAGCCCTTTCCTTAAAGCAACTCCCTATCCAAATGATTCTTAGATACAATTGTTAATAATTTTAACGAGGTCTCATATATATTGGGTACACTGATATTTTACAACAATTCATGAGATAAACACTACTATGATTTCCATTTTATATATGAGTGAACTGAGGCCAGGACATTCCAGAAGGTCACCCAAGCTCTTTCAGTTACCAAGATCAGAATGAGGAATTGAAGACAGACAGTCTGTCTCCACAACACATGTGCTTACCCACCAGGCCATACTGCCTGTTAGCACTTCTGTGAAGCAGAGGCAACTGAACTATTATGTTACAGTACACATATAAATCTAACTTACCCAGACTGCTCTGCCTAGAGATACTGGCTGGTAACAAGCAGTCATTTGCAAAAGCTGTTTTCAGTAAAACAGACATTTTTATCTTGACACTGCAGGCTTTCATTAAGCCATGCACAGAAACTTGTTTTGAAATAACCAAATGAAATTCTGCCCCTTTTCTCCCTAATTGCTTCTAATAATAAAGTTAGTTCTAACTGGCCCCACTGCCAGTGCAACATGTGATGGTAATGAGCAGTTCTTGGTGGAAGGCATTGTGACTTAAATACCTACAGTTTATCTTTGTGTTGCAGGCTACCTTTTTTTTTCCCCACCTCAGACAGAGAAACTTATTTGGAAGTTACTAAATGAACTCTATTTGTTCCCTTCATTAATTACTCTTTGCTCTTGCAAGTTAGCTCTCTCCTCTGTTAAATGACCTGAGGAGGCCAAATAAAGTGCTGCCTTGTGCTTTTTATTCTGTGATGGTTCAGTCTGTACCCAAACTTATGATGACCCACATAAGCCAATATTGAGAGATCTCAATCATCATCAACCCTGGCTATACAAATGATACCCTGACCCCCAAAGCCCCAAAGCCTTTGTTCCTTAGTCTAGAACACTTGAAAATAAATGACCAAATGCCCTGGAAAGATCTAACAAAGCACTGAACCCCCAAATTATCTCACCTGCTCTTCATCTTCCTCCCTCACATCCTCCCACCTCAGTTTTCCCCTGTCTACTTGCTCTTTCCCCTAAAGTCCCAGGAAAGAAGGGGAAAGCATTCCTGGATTTTCCAAACAAGAACATAGGTTAAATTTTGCTATACAGTGTTTTAAACAGTGGTTAGTTGTTGCTGAAATATATAGCTCCATACTTGGGGAATTTTTAGGGTTATGTGGGCTGACCTGCACCTCAATGAATTCTCAGTTCCCAGCAGCCAACTTCAAAGCAGTCATATGACCTATTTGGCTTTATTTAGAAACTGCGGTAGTCTCTCTCATAAAGGGAAGAGGTCCAGGCAGCTTAAACAGATCACTTCTCCAAGGGCTAAAGCTTGAAATTTCATTATTTTGATGAAGGCTTGGGTTCCTAAAATAAAATTCATCCCCTTGGCTTACTTAAAAAAAAGGCATGTGTGTTTGTGTTTGTGTGTGTGTGTGTGTGTGTGTGTGTGTGTGTGTGTGTGTGTGAACACTTCTGTGCATTGCAAGTAGGCAGGAATACCTGTTAACTAAAGTGGGAAAGAGAGAAGAATAGGAAGAAAAGATTGTATGATACTGCACAGAATTGCCCAGGGACACCACGATCAGAGGAAGCTGCCTGACAGAGTTCCAAGCAGGGGTGTGTTGCAGTCACATGTCTGGGTTTAGAGCCCAGCTGTAGTGCATGCTAGCTCTGTGACACTAAGCAAGCCGCTGGACACCTCAAGGTCTCCTTTCTGGATTACATGGAAGCGTTAATGTGGATATTACTTTAGATAAAGAATGTGACACGGTGTCTCAGTGAGTCTACACTATTATTTTTTGGTTGAAGTAGAGAAGTTAGAGGCCTTACCATTATAAGTTTAGTTTCCCCTAAAGCTGGCTTCCAAATAAATCAAGTTTTGCTACCAAATGAAATGAGTCTGTTTCTCTGTGGTTGCTGGTGAATCCTAACCAAACACAAGAATCACTACGCATTGTCAGTTTTGCCCCTGTTCCCAGCCCAGGGTTGCACAATGCATCCTAGTCAACAGGAAAGTGTAGCTCAGAACGCAGGGGCCCTTTGCATTTGCCTTTGACAGGATCTCCAGAATGGAGACCCTGACACAGTAAGTGTGTTAATCTGCCTGTAAAAAGTCTACAATAGAACATTCTGGCTGCTGCTTTCATTTATCTTGAAGCAATACAATGTGAAAACAGTTTTATTATGAATAGGAGTTATGTGTAGTAATAATTACCACTACATATAATATAGTTCTGATACCACATTTCCTTTTGGTTCAGCTTTTCAGTCTCCTTACCCATTCTTACTTATTTATGATAATAGGGAGTTCTCTTCTCAGAACCAGCCTCCTTTGTTTTCTAGCCCTCTGCTATGCCAAGACTCACTCCCAAGTTCTCTCTGTGGTTGACACAGCAGCAGGCCTCGTAACCTTTGCTGAATTAGAATAGTTCATTCAAGAAAAAATGTACTCTTGCATGTGTTAGACATTTCCCTGATCTTTTGTTAGAGAATTATTCGCATTTGGAAGGCTGATGAAGCCTTACAAGCATGAGGTAGGGCTTAGGGCTTACTGTGGCCATGTGAAAACTTCAGTTCTTTGATTTTTCAAATGCCATCAGTCTCCCTTAAATGTGGCCTTGCAAGAATACCAAACTTAAATCAGGAGACTGTTTGCACAGTGTATACATTCATATATCAACCCTGAGGAGAAAATGTGTAAGTTGAATATTTTCTATGAGTTTCATTAGGATACATTAAAATATATATATATAAAGCTGAACACTAGAGATTTTGAAGTTGAAGTCTGATTGCTGCCTGAAAATGCACAAATCAATTTGAAGACTTGTATACTGTGTGACCTGAGGTATGGTTAGTGTGGGTTTCATTCCACAGTTTCCATCTTTTTTGCCAAATCGTCTCAAGTTCTGCATAGTTCACTGATTCTGCAGCAACGTATTCTTGTGCCCCAGAATGTGGTCTTTTAATTGTTTCCATGTTTCATAACATGCCAATAAGCACATGAATTGGTCTGGGTAACCACATGGAGGGAAGAAAGAATTGGGAAAAACTGAAGCACTAGTAGGGAAGTAAAACGTATACAGCTGGGATTTCCACCACAGGGGTGTTACTCGTGGGCAACTGGCACGCATGGCTGGCAAGGCTGGCTCGAAGAGTGGGAGTCTCCAAGGGAGGATCCGCAGAGACCACTCCCAGCCCAGGAAGCTCTATTATTTAGTGGGTGACTGTTCGCTTTATTCCCCCTTATCTCTCTGCTTTTTGCTCTTTCTCTTCTACTTTGTTTCCCATCTTGAGGTACAGAAGGGAACGTGCAGGCCTATCGTTGACAAATTCTTGAGCAGCCTTGATTAGTGAAATGAATTCACGGAGGTTAAGGGGTATTTGTCTTTCACTTGTCCTCCCAGCCTGCTTTCAGTCAGCTCCCATAGTTGACACTTATTGTTGCTTCATGTCTTGCAAGCTTTATAGTGGGAGTTGATTCACTTAAAGAGTTAGTATTGTAGTGGGACTTAGTGCTATAAATGTCAAGGATGAGAGTAAAATTTTGACACACCCTAAAATGGAAAATGATTTGAATTGTCATCGTCCAGTGTAGGCCACATCTATTAGTGGTAAAAGCATAGAATAAGATGTGAAGTCTTTACTCAGTTT